CTTGATACCGGTCGAGGTAAGATAACCAAGCCTCGGGTTCCAATACACAATAGAAGAGCCAAACGGCGAGGCTTTGATCACGAGCCTGGAGATATTGGATGAAAGGCAGGAGGCCGCCCTGGTCCGGTTGGTCGCCCTGAAACGGTGAATAGAAAGGTATTACAACCGATGAGCCAGCCTCCGGCACTTTCAAATCAGGGACTTGGTGTTGAGGAAAGTGACATTACACACCAAAAACCTGAACGAGGAAAAGCTGGGACCGACTGGGAAGGACCATATCGAGTTGTCGGAATAACCAGCAAAGGCTCGTACAAACTCGAAGGGGGAAATGGAATACAATTACCAAACAACTGGAACGTGGCACACTTAAAGCGGTACTACTGCTAAGGTACGAACTCAATTACTATCATGTTATAAGTCACACTAACACTTGCAGGTAAACAGCCAAGGACGGATGCGACTATTAGGTCCGAAAGCACGCGTTGCACTCTTTTTTCTTGAACCGGTTTTGTCCAAAAACGGGTTTTTCGGCAAGGTTTTTAACGAGGCAACAGTAAAACGTGCTAACTTAGATTAAAAACTGGTTTCAAACAGGAGTAAATGATCGTTCACTTCGTATCAACAGTATCCGAGCCCTCACGAGTTCGACCTCGAATACTGGGGGCTATCACCCTCGGATAAGGTTTCTAGCAAGGAAAAAAAGAAAACTTTGTATTCTAAGAGCTAAGGCTTGGTGGTTAGGATTCGTTGTAAGGGACAAACAGTCGTATGAACCGTGCTCACATAGCCACCCTATCCATGACACAAGTCTTTATGCGCTTTTGATTATGTATCTTGCACACTAAGAAATGAAAGAAAGTTCCTCTTTGATATTATGCATCTTTTACTTCTTCGACTCTGGGCCATAGAGCCCATGGGCTACCCGTACTCGGGACTGTCGCCTGAAGAAAATTCGGACGACCCGGGATACCGAATCCCGGAGGCACCAAACCTATTAGGCGGTGCCCAAATACAAAAGGCTACGGCCGCACTAAAAATGTCTCAGGGACGTCCGAAGCTCATAATCAGAAAGTAAGGCCTTTATAAACATTCGAAACCTGCTAAAAGGTTACCCTAGGCAAAAGCATCATATAAACACACTTAAGCATCTTGGAAACTTCCGGTCGCACCGAGGTTTCGAAGCCACGAGCGAACAAAGTTGCATCGAAGTCGGGCTCCGTTCGGACCTTGGAAAAACGGATGCCCTATAACTACATTTGTTTCTATGCAAAGGCATCAAAAACATTACATGAATTGAAATTGCCAAAAGATGCTGGAAAAAGTAAAGACACGATGTTGCCAGAAAGGGAAAATTTCATATATATATTCCAAACTATATTTACAAAGGCCCAATAAAAATGGCCTCAAAAATAAACAAAAAAAATATACATAAGGAAAAACAAAAACTGAAGAAGTACTAAGGCATCTACGCTTGGTCTTCACCAGGCTCCGACTCGTCCCCAGAACCATCGGAGCCCTCAGATCCCTCGGAGCCCTCGGAACCCTCGGAGCCTTCGGTACCCCAGGCTCGTAGAGCTCCTTTGACTCGGCCTCGAGCTTATTAGCTTCCTTGATCTCGGCCGATAGGTCAAAGCCTCGGGCGTGGATCTCTTCGAGGGTCTCTCTACGGGACAGCTGCTTAATGTACTCAGTCTTTGTCTTCAGGCGGGTCTCGGCTACCTCCACATCGGCCTTGTACGGGGCCACCATTTCCTCGGCATCAGCAGAGGTTGTGTCCAATTTGGACTTCAGTTCCTCATATTCCTCTCCGAGGGCATCCCATTATGCGACGGCCGAGCTTACATGTGCTCGAAGATCATCATTCAACTGAGACCACTTATCAGATTTGTCCTTTGCCATCCGGATTTGGTTCTCAACCGATGCCAGCTCCGCCTTCGGAATTTCCTTCCCCGAAGCCAGTAGGCCCATCCTGCCCTTCCACCCTTCGGCCCTGTCCTTAACCTCATTCATCTCAGCTCGAAGCTGGTCGATTAGGTCAATCTTCTATTGGACCTGCAAAGTTGTGTTGTTAGACACCACGACTAGCTCCTCAATTTTAGCTTCAAAGACCTTTACCTTTTCAACCAAGTTGGCATGTTCCCGCTTCAGGGTCGAGGCCTCCTTGAGCTTTATCCAGCTCGGCCTGGAGATCTTTATGGGCCTTGTCCTATTGCTCAATGAGAAGCCTGTACATGTCCTTCTTCGAGACCTGCTCCTTGAGCTCGAACTCAAGCTGGCTGATTTCCAAGCGGTACGGAGGAAGCTCTCATGGTGAATCACTGGGGCCTGTAATACAACGAAAGCAGTAAGAGACATCAAAACTTAAGTGGAATTCATAAAGGGGTGTAATGCGTCTTACCCGGTTCAGCGCTTGCTGTGCCTTGTTGAAAAGACTTGACGTGCTCACCTCGTTCATATTTGCCTGGTTCTCCTCGGTCACCAGGCATCGGAGGTAGCTGGCTATGCCCACCAGAGCGGATAGGACCCGAGCATCCTCCGGGACTGTAAGAACAACTTTTCTCTTGCGCCGGGGTTCCACGCTCGGTGCGGGAAATTACTTCACCAGTTTTGGGATCGAACTCAAACGGCCAGCTCCCGAGGGCACGTCTTTCTTCGGGATCTCCAGATGGCCCAGCCAGGAAAGGTCCTCCGATGTGGACATGTCATGGCTATCGAAAAAGGAAATGAGGGGGTTATCTGAACCCTGCACTCCCTCACTTGATTTTTCTTTGCCCGTTTGGGCCTCCCGAGCATAGACTCAGTATAGGAGGGCGTCTCTATGATGTCAATGACACCGGTTGCCTCCTTAGGAAGGGGAACGGCTTCTTGGGCGGCCTCTATCTCCATCGGCCTCGTGGCCCCCTTTCTCGGTCGTCACCTGCTCCCCAGTGGGGGTCGATCCATGGGGTGACGAAGATGTCGTCTTTTTCGGGCTCATCCCTGAGCGGGTAGAGATAGCCAAGGTTCGGTGCCCTAGACTTGGTATTCTTCTTGGGCTTCCGGACCCAGGTGGCCGCCCTCTTCTTCCTCTTCCTCTCTAGGGCTGGGAACTCGAGGACTTTTTATTTTTCTTCTTCTCCTCCTTCGTGGCATCCCGGGGCTGTACGACCACAAATAGAATCAATGAGAAAAAGAAATAAAAGGGAAGACATACCCAAGAAAGACAATACTTACGGGATGCGTTGTACTCCTCGGGGAATGGCAGAAACTCGGGGAGAATCAGGTCTTCGATTTTCACCCGAACGAACCGCCCCTTCCATCCTCGGTCTCGGTCCTCGTCAATGCTCAAGAAAAGGAGCCTTGCTTGCTCGCCAGACGAGCTTGATCTGTCCCCCTCGGAAGATTCAGGGACTGTATAAATAGAGTAGGTGGTCAAGGTTGATCCGTCGAGACTCAGTGTTGTTTACGAAGTAGCGCAAGAGGATCATAATCCTCCAGAAGGATGGGTGGATATGCCAAGGCACGCCTCGTATCTCTTGCAGAAAGCAAAAACTACAGGATCCACAGGGGCTAGATTGAAGGGGTAAGTGTAAACACTCATATACCCCTTCACGTGAGCAGTTACATCTTCATTGGGCCCAAGGACAACCACATCTTTGCCCTCCCACTTACAGTCCGCTCGGACTACAGGTAGGGTTTCTCCGGTGAGAGAGCATATGTATCTCGATGCTCCCTCACCCCGGTCTTGTTGGCTAGAGGCCTTCTCGACCTTAAAGTCATCCCTGATAGTGCAACCCCCGGGTATGAAGCTTTTCATGGGGGGCTCTGGAGCCACCTCGGGAGCGGCCACCTTGGCTTCTGCGGCTGGGTGAGAAGATGAAGGGGCAGCCTATTAAGGCACTAACTTGGAAGTTTTAGGCATCGTGATATGATGATTTGAAGGGAAGTATGAAGATTCGAAGAAAAAGTATGAAGTTTTGAAGAAAAGAGTATGAAGGTTTGAAGGTGGGATAAAGATCTGGGTTAGAAGTCTAAGAACAAATATGAAGATTTGAAGATCAGAGATGAAGATATGAAGATTTGAAAAGGTTGAAAGTCGCTAAAAAATTAAAAGGTAAAAGCTAGGATCGGAAAGTGAAAGAAGTATAAAAGGTCGAAGCTTTTATAAGGGAAAATGCAATCAATACGCGATATTTCACATTCGAAGACAACCAGCCGACGACCAACATGTGTCCGAAGTTAGAACGACGCGACTGATGGGACGTTTCTGCTTATCCGTCACTCGTTTGTAACGTACGAAAGAAGGGTTCTCCCATTGCTTCGGCAAACCTACTTTTTGGGAAACGAGGGGACTATCTGTAAACGGGTGAAATCAGGGCTAATGCACACCCCGATTTCCCGCTGGATCAAACGAAGTAAGAGTATGAATGCATGAGATCAAAATCGAAGCTGGGAGCTCTTTGTATCGAGGCCCAAACGGCGTGCTCACTATCAGACCTGATAAAACGACGCATCCCGAACTCGGGGCGAGTTTTGAATCTTTAGGAAGTGCAATGAACGATTGTAGACGACAAATAAAGGTGCAGTGATATCAAGGCGAGGATTTTTACCTTTCTTCAACTTATACTAGATATGGAACTCTCCTACTATATAAAGGGATAGTTTTTTCTTTAATAAGAACCATTATAACACGCGAATCAAGACAATACAAATTTATTTTTCTGCTTTCTAGAAATGGCAAAACTATTGTTCATTCGCAATACGAGCTAGGCCGTAACATCACAATTAATTTTATTATTTATTTTATCTTTTAACTTGTTTATCTAATATTCTTGATCATTTATTTTGAATCAATCCACATATTCTTAAATCGCGGTACAAATTTAATTATTATCTGTTTTAGGGGTAAACATCCCTATTTTCCATTTCGAAACCCATTACCGATGGTTTTAGTTTGCAATTGCAGCTACTAAACTTTCACGAGGCTAGGTGGAGTAACTTTAATTTTATGAAACCGGTCGACGACATGTAGTTTGTTTCACCATACTAATTGCATAATTTATTATTACTTGAGAGAATTAAGGAAGAAAATTTAGCAACTACCACATTAGCTAGCTAGTTTATATAGCAAGTAAAATATAAGCTTTGCAACGTCCAAATTACATCAACCAGTAGACTCGTCAACGTCGAGTCCTTGCTCCACCTCCGGGTCTCGTCCGCCTTGCAGGCCGGAATCATGGCCACCCTTGCGTCCCATCTCCTTATATCCTTCACTTCCTAGCTGCTCCTTCCTTGTCTCACCTCCTTGCCTCCTTCCTATTATACATGAAATTATATATTATGAATAAGCAAACAAACCATATGCAAGAAGGTGCTTCGAGAGAGCTGAAGCTAGAGAATTAAATACGAATTCGGGCGATCAATGGCAAAGTTCAAAATTGACAAGTTCAGAATTCATAAACATTTAAATCCACTAATTCGATGGCAAAGTTCAGAAGCCATAGGGCAAAGTTCAAAATCCCTACGGTTTCGGTGGCAAATTTTAAATTCATAAACATTTGAATCCAGACTGCGCCTCTGTGACTGTAAGGTGCTACTGACTATATATAATGAAAATTAAGTTGTGTTTATTTGCATATCTTCTTTACTAAAAGTAACTAGCTAGTTGGTTACCTTGGGCAAGATGTTGTTGGGAGTCGAGGCTTTTACCTCTAGTTCCTCCAGGAACCACAGTCTCTCCTTGCTTAGCTTTATTATCCAACTCCTTTCTTTCTTGTTCGGTAGCCATATCTTTGTTAACTTTTTCAATATTTTCCAATGAAACAACTGCTATATATAAGTAACTATAACTACGTACGCGTATGCTGCCGCTACATGAAGACGACATAACATATGTTATGCTGATAGTATTAATAGGTGTTACTGCCTTACGGATGTTACGTTTTAACCAGAATGGAGGGACACGTACCTGGCAACATGGCTTAAGGAGAATCCATATTGGTGGCACTCTACTACGTCAAAGAGAAAAGTATACGGCAGACTTAGTAAATATGAAAATAACTGTAGGATTCATTCTTATTAGCTACTAGCGGAAGTAAAGTTCGTGCTGTCGCACGGGCCCAACATAAACTATTTAGCTTGTATTTTCATAGAATATACCCTGAAAATAATTTTAATTTTTAATCAGTATTCTCAAGTATTAAGGGAAAATTTCAAAATATTTAATCTAATACTTGAATATTCTTAATCAGTCAACTTTCTCGAGATTGAACACTATATACCAATCGGCAATTCAATAATTTTAACTAAATTCTTAGATAGAGTTATTATATTTTAAATTTCACGTATGAGAGTAAAAATAATTATAAATAATAGTGAGTGTAAGAAATATTTTTCGACGGAATATTAACACAAGTTTTCATCATTTTTTATTTTTGCAGGATAGTCAAATCAGTTTCAAACGATAGTAATGCAAATAAACATATCACTTGCAAGTTCCAACTCAAGAAGTAACTAAATTAAAAATATTTTAAATTGTCGTTTTCTTTTCCATAATGTATATTCTAGTGATTTGGTCCATTGAATTTAGGGTAAATAGCAAATACAAAATTAAATTAACAACTAAATTAGTAATTAGCTTAAATGTTAGTATTTAAAAATAAATAAACTCATGAAAATATAAGGGTTAATAGGTTAGAAATAATATCATAAAGTTAAATTATAAATTAATTTTAAAGTTGCAAAATTAATTTAAAATTTTACAGTAACTTTATTTACATAATATTACTTTATTAAAAAAAAAGGTATGCACATTCCTTCATATTGAATGAGTTAGCGCCCAAATAATTGTACTACTATTTGAAAGTATTACAAACTACTTAAATTGCAAAATGCTATAGTATTGTATTTACTTTCTTTCATGAATTTATAATATTTAAAGTTTTAGATGAATATAGATATTAATTATTAACTTATTGACATTGGTTGAACTTAAACCTAGCATATATTTATATGTAAAATTATTCTTTATTTAGTGAATTTATTCTGTTATATTTTTGTTTAGTGAATTTATTCTGCTACGCTTTAACTTGTCAATTTCATATATTCAAGCTTAACTGTTGATTTAACATATTAACCATTCAAACTCTGCGATTAGTTATCTATTAGGTCCTAATTGCATAAAACTTATATATTTAATTGAATTCAAATACAATTTCCTTTTCAATTTCTGTGCTTGATATAAATGAGCTGCCAAATATACTTGATTTAGAAAATCTTAGATTCTGTTGAAGTATAGTATTTGTATTATGTGCATATTAACAGATGCAACTTTCAACGAATAGTGGACTGACAATGTGTACTATGTATATGTGGAGAAGTCTTGAGTAAATATGTGTTCCAATGGGTTCCGCGTTTAGATACTACTATCCATATGTCGAAAATTCCCCAAAATTTCCTTTGTTTACTAAATTGTGGGTCCCACATTTTTTGTACTATGCATTTGTGGAGAGAAAGTAGGCTCTCAAATTACCTCAAAAGTTCCTTTTATTTATCAAATTGTGTGATGGCAGTCAATGTAATAATATCGAAAAATATGGGTAAATATATAATGGTGCATGTCGACGAAGACGTCTTTGCTTCACCTGTTTCTACCGTGCTTCTTATATACTAGGTAGGAGGTGCCCGGGCTAAGCCCGGGCCCAAGAAATATTAAGCGTTATTTTAACATTATTTTCAAATGTGACTCACCTTTGCATCTAGTTATGCTGTGTTAGTTTTGTCTATGACGATAGAATTATGACTTTGAGGGCTACTCGTAGTCACATTCAAGTTTGAATAAAATCCATACATGAACTAAGAACACAATTGATTAACTTGTAAGCTACATCAAAAGCCAAACTAAAATGAAACAAATAAAAAAAATATACAATGTGGGTGTCTGTCCCTGATAGTTTTCATGCTCTTAGGAAGCGGAATCTTTTTGCCTTACACTCGAGACAATAAGCTGATCTGGAAAATGCAAAAGTTGAATAAGTATTAGTACATGTGCATAATACAAATTATCAGACCGTGAAAAGTAGAAAGTAGCACGTACATAGTAACATTCGGATATATTAGGCTAGACAACAGCTGCACAAAAATGTCGTGATTTAATAAAATAGTAATGCATTGTAGCACAGAAAGGAGAAAACAGGACAGTGAGCAGATATCATTCAAAAAAGAACTTTAGATAACTGTAGAGTTCAAATGTGACATGAAGCAGTTCAAGAATCACCTTATTCCCTCAATAAGTGAGATCTATGAGTAGCAAAAAGGTATACCAATTTCAATTAATCCCCGGCACAAAATATGAGCAACCCAATTTGGGAGCCTCTTCTTCTTTGTTTCTGGGAGGAAGCAACCTAATATGATAACATGTAATAAGTGACTTAGTCAATATCTTCTTTGCTAATTACTAATATTTCCCATTCTTCAAGTTATGTCTATAGTAACCGTAAAAAGGAGCAATATGGGAAGCAATTCCACACCTGATAAAATAGTAATGGAACGTCATGCGTCTTTTTCGCAGGAGATGGTAGAAACTATATACAATATGCCACAACAGGCTTGTAAGTGAAACAAGTTTTTCCAACATTCATGTTAGGAGCAATTTGCATTTAGACGCATACAAGAATAGATAATACTGCATAGCTATCTACACAAAATGTGAGATATTGTACTGCAGTGAACAACTGTGTTAAAATACGGTTCAAGCAGAAGCATAACTACTACTCTACGACTCTAGTTACGAAAAGTAGTCGTAGATGCCAAAGTTTTTACGCGAGCTTCATTGAACTTGGGTTATGTCTCTTGGCCTATTAGTATAAACAATAGATTCAGTATGAGCGAAATATAAGACTTCAAAATATGTAATTTCAAGTATAAACAATAGATTCAATATCAGCGTTCCTATATTGGTTTCAAGAGTAAAAATGTTCCAAAAAGCTTGATGGCAAGAAAAGTTGGAGAAAATAAAAAATATACCGTGAGCCTCAATCAGGACAGAAAATACAGAAATGAAAACATATAACGAAAAAGAGCTAGAGTGGATACAATATTAGTCAAAGATGATTGAGAAGCCACTACTAAATGAATATCGTTTTTGTCACATATAATTGTCCTCATTGATAGGCATTTGTAGGACAATTTTCAGATGTTCTTTAACTTTTTTCTACAATAAAAACTAAGGAAAAACTATAAGGTAAATACTAATATGAATAGTCAGTTAACCATTTGCTCCAACCTAAAATTCATAAGGTTCTTACAGTAAGAAATTCACAGAGCTTATGTAGCAAGGCCAGTGAAGATAAAATTATATATAATTTCACAAACATTTGCAACCAAACATTTATCCACTTTGAACATTATCTAGCCAGCAGAAATTCCGAAAATTAGGAAAAGAAGAAACCAAAACTTATCTTATAACTATAAGCGAAGCATAAAGAGCAAAGACATATAATTTCAAGGAATTTTTGGTCAGGCAAATTAACTGGGAATAAGAGCTCCGTAAGTTTAACCTAATAAGTTATAGCCTGTTTTTCACTGTACTATCTAACACCATATTTCTTCTAAACCTTTGTCAAGAAAAAAAAAACTCTCAAACTATTTGAAAAGAAATTCACAAAGTTAGTCTTTCAGTTGGGAGGAGCAGATGGCATCTTATTTCAATATTGTAAAAACTTAAAAACTTTTGAATAAAGTAAGGAATTTCAAAAACAGAAATATTCAAACACCTTTAGAAGCAAACACCATCCCATCCTCTACATTGCAGAAATTGCTATTGAATCATTGGCAATAATGAAGAAGCTTATTAGCTGAACTATGGCTAGTAAACACAACATTCGAATACTAAATTTATCGCCAGAGATTATTTCTGGTAGAAAATGAAAATTTTAAGCTGTAATAAAACGGCGGCAACCCAATTCAAACAATTTCTACACAGCAACTATTTCAAAAAGCAGGAAAATAACAAAGCTGAGAAGTTCAGCAATACAATCTGGAGGTTCACACAAGACATGCCAACCATCTCGAGTGACGTCTAAGTTTATCTTCCAGTGTTAACCATTTATTAACTTTCGTGTGTCAACTGTCCTCATATGAGAATGGTAAAAGACAGCTATTAAGCAAGTCTACTACTCCAGCAACGAAAAACGTAACCTTATTGTTATTCAGTGAAAGTCCGCTCTAGCAAAGAGTAGTAACCATACCATCAAAACTGAAAATTGACAAGCTATATATCAATGGCTTTATTAATAATACACAACTTTAACAAAATAATCACAGTAATTCAATTTTCCCTTTCGGTCTCGGTATAACATGCATTCCAGAGTTTAATTGTGAAAAACTTATCAGTGCATAAGCTACAAATGTTGTGCATTACCACTAAGCCTCAGATGACATATGAAGATATAATGAAAGGATAAAAATGTAATACTGAAATAAGAATTGCTTAAGGAAACAGATAACGGGGTAAACTTTTGATGTTCTACGAAGAAGAAACTTAGAAAGAAAAAATTAGTAATCAAAAGCATAACCAGATCCAATAGTGGTCAAGATGACATTGTGAGGTACTCAAAGGAAGGCTGAAACATAGAAAAAATCAGCAATGGTGCGAATGCCAAAACAGAAGTAGTCAAAGAGGAGAAATACATCAGAAGAATATAAATGGTAAATAAGAAAAATGTGCTACTAGTAGTCCAAAAGTAGAAAACAGCAGGACATGGTCAATTACCATATCTAGAGATCAGAGATAACATAATTCATATTTTCACAGATAATCCTATTGTTCCACCAATTGGAGTTATGATTCTTTACAT